CCAATATTTAGCACGTCATTAGCATGAATTCGCACGACTGTCCCCGGAATTCGCACGCCATTTTATAATGGCTAAAAAACCGATTTAGTGTTTTTTACAGTTTTATTGTTCCGCCAGCCCGGCCCATTACAGAATAGACCGTTAGTCGTTACTTACAATTAATTGTTGATATGAAATTAATAAAAGTCAATATTAGTGTTTGGAAATTTCATAAAATATAAAAAAATTAAATATTTCGTGAAATATTTCAAAATGTGTGAAAGATTTCAGTATTTTAATACATTTTGTTTTATTTTTAAATAAGTTTTATATTTAGGTATATATAAGTGTCATAAATTACCTTCATAACTGTATGGTACCTGTATGTTTACGGTTTACCTAACCTTTGATATTATACTTTTAAAATGGATTCAACATTCTTGAACATTTTAATGTTTAAATGATACAAGTTGTAGGTATACAATATTATACATGTATATTGTATACTTACTGAATTTTGACATTAGAATTTAGAACACTGAATATTGTGTTAAAAAAATAAATAAATTGTGATTTTATTTGTGTTAAAAATAAATTAAATGTTTCATGTTTTTGTGAAATATTTTATACTTCAAACACTAGTCAAGATATTATATTGTAAATTTGTAAATGTTGTTTATACAACCTAATTTTTTAAAAATGCATAATAACGACCATATAATATTAATGTGGCTCCTCAAAATAAATCCTTGCACATAGGCCTCTCAAGAGTTAATAGTTGCGGCACTGTATTTTACACAAATTATTATCATTAAACAAACCACACATTATAAAAACAATAAAAGTACTGACACTTTCTGTCTTTTTTTTAATTTTAAACTTTTGGAAATAATGCTCATCGGCCGATGATGCGGAGCTAAAATGAACCATTTATATTATACTAGCTGATCCCGCGCACTTAGGTGCCCTTAAAAAATGACAACTCTTATAAAAATTGTGATTTTTCTACTCCTTTTGCATGTAACTCGTTGCAGTAAGTGCAATTCAGCAATATTCCCAGAGTTGGTCCTCTCTCCTTGTTACAAGCCGTTACATACAATTAATGGTTTATAAGAAATTAATAACCCTCAATATATAATATTGTAAATGTTTTTTATAGAAACTAATATTAGGTATATTAATGTGTCTTTAATGTGGTAACGGGTAGCGTGCGACGGTGTTAAATTGCAACGTTGCGCCAGCCCGGCTCATCAAAATTTGGATTTAACCGTTAAACCAATATCATGCAAATTCTAATTTTAGTCGTGCAAATTCATGCTAATTGCATGCTAAATATTGGTGACAAAATTTTCCAAAATTTTGAAATGGGCCGGGCCGGCGCAACACACGTAATAAACAGGTATTGTACCAACGACGGCTTAAAGGAAAAATTGAAATAAATAAAATGCACTCCACACTGTTTATTATCAGGTCAATATATTTTCTCAATCGAAGTATCTATATGTTTATATATTATATAATATATATATAGTATTGTTCAACTGTTACCGAGTTGAACATATATAGTAAAACGGTCTCGAATAAATTCGTAATACAATAATAGTAATAATAATAATAATAATATAATGTCGTCAACAAAGTGTCAGTTTTTTTGAAGAACTATATTCTATATTTATATAGGTACACAAATATATACGTTAAAACTATATAATAACACGAAATGTCCAGACATATCATATAACAATGCTTAAGCTTAATAACATAATGGATTATATATATATATAATATATATATATAGAATTAAATTCAATAAAAAAAAAAGTTGATAATATTATTTCACCATTAAATAATAACAAGACGTCGTATATATATATATATTCGAGTCGAAAACAGTCTATAATATTACCTATATATATATTATATGTAAGTCTGTATAATGTTAAATAAATTAGATAAATAGGTACATAATATTATATTATTTATATAGACACTATGCGTATGATCTCTTATACGTAGTCGTATACGCGTAAGTCTATAACAATAACACATCAATCGTCGTACGTCTAAGACAGTAAAACGTACTCTATGACTTTGACATGACAATATCACTTATCTATATTATACACCCACGTATATTCGTATCAATCTAATGTTATGTGTAGGCAATAATAGTTTATAATAATGTAGTGTGTAGATGGCACGTGGAGCGTGTACAATAAAATATTGTACATTAATATTATAAATTAATAACGAACCCAATACCGGCAGTCGTATATTAAAATATAATATTCATATAGTCAAATTAGTCAATAGGTGGTACTGTACCACCACTGGTACGATAATGACTCATTATTAATGAGTAATGTATATATATTATATATATATACATGTATATACATAAATATATCATATTATATCATAAAATAATATTATACTTAATAATCGCACACCGTGGAATACTCGATAATAATTTGTCTTAGACTCTGCAGGGTTCTACATGGTAAAAAATGTATCGTAAATTAATATTATGATACTTTGCACAATTATATAATAATTAATTTATGATATCATATACGATTAGTATATACATATTATTTTTATATACTTTTAACGACCTTACACGCTTCGACAAGCGGCCGAATCGAGTGTTAGGGGTCATGGGGGGTGTCTCGTGTGTGTGTGGATTTGCTGAGCTGAGGGCGTCGCTGCAGTTCCGATGCAGCTCACGTTATGGCGCACAACCGGGACTTGGTCTTGGTGGGTTTCCGGCCGGAAGCGGTCTGCGGATGCTGCATGGTCGAGTTCTGGTGTTGCATGTGGTGCTGCTGCCCCATGAGCCTGCGCTGCTGCAAAAGCCTGTTGACCACTATCCGGTACGTGGCCACAACGTTGCTTCTCGACCCCCGCGAACCGTGTTCGTCGAGCATCGCGTCGGTTATGCCGAGGCCCTCCAGGGCCCGCCTGGCGTTCGTCTCGGTGTCGGTGACCTCAGCACCAGCCGCCGTCGGGTAAGCGCACCACTGACCGTATACCGAGTTGTTGTTGAACCGTATCTGGTACGCGGACGCCTCGCGCAGCCAGTCGGACTTGAGTACCTGATCGATGTTGAACCGGTGTTCGGGCGACGTGTTGAGCATGGACACTGTGGTATGCGAGAAACGATTACGTATAAATATATAACATAGTATTATTATGAGTATTTGTGACAATAAAATATATTAGTGACCACCGTTACAAAATAAGTATTGGAACTTACAAATCCAAAAATATAATCCTAGAAGGTTTTATAACACATTATTTTTATAGACCGAATTCATCTGACTTATCTCTACCAACCTACTAATACAAATTACAAGCACTCATCCATCACCAGCTAATAGTATAAAATAAGTTTAAGACTTATGACAAATGTTTGAATTAGAAAATGGAAAACGAAGACATTTATATTTTCTTGAGTTTACTTAAACCGCATTTATTTTAAAAAAATATTAAACACACATAAATTGATGCTCATGTGAATACATCGAGATATATCATTATATATATACACTATAGGTAAGTATTGTATCTACTACCAGGTAGTTGGTGACCCTAACTATACCTGTATATAATATACTGTATAATACTACAATGTACAGTTATTAGTTACCTATACATACTGAATAATGCGTTGTAGTTGAGAGCGCGCAAAACTAATAATCGCAATGATATGACACACTTTTTTTTAGATTTTTGTGCTAAAAAACCGTACACATTATACGTATATAAGTTTGAATTAACCCCACCTTGGCAGTAATCGAGTATCGGATTTATTTATTTTTTGCACTCGCGTGCGTCTACCTAGCTATATAATATGCCATAATAATCATTAGTTGAAAATATGTTTATGGCAAATTTTCAGAAATTACATTTGTATATTATAATTGTACGATACAGTGACGGAGGGCGAAATAATTAAAACAACGAGCGGCTTCGCAAACAAAACCTAACTTATGTGCACTGCACTCTACATACCTACCTACCTACCTACATAATAATAGTATAGGTATAGACGATCGGATTTCTAAGCCTAAATACAACACTTACAGTCCTTCCATATACACACAGCAGTATTGATTCGCAAAATACAACGCTTAATGCAACTACCGTGGGCAAACATAATATGCGAGTGCAGTGTATTATGTAAACGCACAGTATACAGAGTGATTAAACATAAGCGACACTAGGACATGGAAACGCTCATCCTTTTTAAAGGGGTAATGAAGAAGTCATCAGTATGTACAATCGTATCCCCGCCATGAGACATCGGGCAATTGTGTCTACTGTTGAATTAATTGCCGCGTATATATGTATCATTGTATCACAATAAGTCATAACATCATACATGTATATAAATATCTACTCACCTCTAATTATACGGCCCTACGACCTACGGCTATTATTAGAATATGTATTTATTTTTGTGTTTCATGTTTTTATTTACGTACGCCAATCAGAAATGGGTGTGTGTACAAAATATAAAATATTTGCTACTATAAACCTATAGTAAATGTATAGCAGTCTAAACGTAACACCGACATTATCAGCAGACTCTAATGCTATTGTTTTCGCTACAGAAGTTAGCACTCGTCAAATATTGTCCAGGTCGAAGTACTCTATTTACACATGTTTTTCTGTGTTGGTGATGTGTTGATGGTCGAAAGTTCATCTGCGCGATGAACCGTCATAATGCACTACTCTTTTTTTTTAATCAATATGTTAATGGTACGAGTGCTGTTATCGCGCTATAAATAATGTATAAAACTATAAACTAACTACAAAGTACAACTGTAGCATCAGTTCAGCGTAAATCGGTACGCTCTCGCGCACGTATAATGGGCATAATATTATAATTTGATATTATGTACATATAGCGCGCAGGGTTTAAAGTGGGAAAAAAATTCAGAGGGGACTAATGTCTCCATATAGTTTTAATCGTTCCATACATAATTTTATGTACAACGTCTAATGTATAAAATCCTAATTTGTTAAAGGGGACGCTTTTTAACCGCCGTCAGTGGTAGGGGGACTGAGTCTTCCTGTCCCCCCACTTTAACCCCTGATATAGCGTAGGTACACGTGGAAGTAAACTCTGCGTTGGGTATAAATCTACATGACACAATCATATCGTATTATTATTACTATCAAAATTATTTATGTACTAATTGTATGATCCACGGCCATCCGTAAATTATCAATTATTAGATAATTACTGTCATCCATCCTTTTTTTAATCTCATAATTATTGGTAGGCCATTACCTATGAGTGACTTTAACAGCTGGGACATGGATGCTGGAGCTTCCACGTGCCCGGCCAGTATTGACCGCCTGAGCCCGGCCATGTTGTCGCCGAGGAAAGGCATCGTGGCGGTGGTCATGAAGAACAACAGCACGCCCAGCGACCACACGTCCACGGGACGGCCGACGTAACGCTCGTCCAGGAACAGTTCGGGCGCCGCGTACGGTGGGGACCCGCAGAACGTCTCCAACTTTTCGTCGTCTGCAAAACACGAAAACCGATTAATAATACGAACTCGGCATGAGCAATAATCATTGTAAATATAGGTAAGTGATGGCGATCGTTATGTGACCAGCGGTGGAGTAGCGAAGGGGGTAAGTAATCGAGGGGCGATCACCCGTGGGAAATAATTTAGTATAAACTATAGTATTTTAGTATTAACTACTACAGGTGGTTACAAAATAAATATGCAAGGAATGCGCTCAAAGTAATACCATTAAAATAATATTAAACTATGGCAACGAATTTTAAGATTTGTAACATTTTCAATCTTCGGTTTAATACTTTAATGCCTTTAATTTATATGTTTATACACATCACAATGACATGATATTCTCGTTTTTTTGTCATTACGATATTTTGTTGTAATATTCAAAAAATTAGCTGCGCCTACACATATGTATAGGTACATATACTTTCAATCGAACAGTAAGGTATTGCGAATATATATCGGGCAATGTCAATATAGTGAAATAGTAAAAATATCAATCGAAATCGTTTTTTTATATCTTAAAATTAAGTACGTGATTTTCCTCCACGATCAATTACAAACACAAACATCAACACATGATAATATACCATTTGATTTTACCATAGTTCCATATTACAATAATTTACAATTTATTTTAGTGTTGTGGATAAAAAAAAAGTAAAACAATAATTGTAATAATGGCAATCAATTAGTATCGAAGTAAGTTCGTACGAGAAATTAAAATTTTGATGTCGTTCGAAGTCAGTGGCTGTGTAGACTTAGAATAAATTATATTATAATGGTTATTATTAATTATTATTATTATTATGCATATCATTATATTATAATGTTCGTGTGTATGATATGCCATAGATGATAATACCGTATACTTATATAATAAGTATGTAATCATACCATAATATTATAATAATATTAAACACGTGTTTGTTTGTACGCGACTGACACAATATTATAATTTAATCGATCTATAGTTTAATTGGAATTTACATAGAACATTATAATGTGTTATGTATAACGTCACAGAGCTCTTATCGGATTTACTTATAATATTATGTTATCGTCACGAAACCGTGTATTAGGGACATTAAACCGTGTGATCGATTTAAAGTGAGAATATAATGTTTATCTATGTATATAAAGGCACAAAACCAAAATCATAATTTTAATATACAATTTTGAATTGCACTTAAGTATTTTGTAATATTTAAAAACTCGATCATCGGTTTTGGTCGAGTCCAATGAATCCAATATTGCAGGCGAATAGTGATCCTATTTTCATTCAATAAATGAGCTTCCGTCAAAACAACGATATACATGATCGTACCCCATATTATATAGTATTTTGATTTTTAGTTAATTATTCTTAAAAATAAAATTATGGGCCCCTCTGAACATGTTCTAAATAAAGTCGAGTCTCGGTAATTAGAATTTTATTTTTGTCTCTTGAAGTGTTTTTAAGTAAGCAGTGTTTAAGGTATACATAATAATTCGAAAAATACAGAAGTCGAATTTATATTATTTATTCCCCCTTTTCCCTTGATATTCGAGTTAACGAGACTCGGCTGTATAAACATATGTCATTGTTCGAAATAATGTTATATGATAATATTTCTGAATATAGGTACTCGAGACTGTGATGCTAAAGCCGAAGTCTCCTAATTTGGCGACGCCTCTGGAGCTCAAGAACACGTTCTCCGCTTTGATGTCTCTGTGAACGATGTTGCGGTCGTGCTGCAGTGTATATAGGGAACATGGACGAAAAAAAAATGAGAATTAATAAAATATTATTACAAGAACGATTAAGTGGTAAAAACCGGTGGAAAAAAATTGTTCACCAGGTGTTTGACGGCCAACACGATTTGAGAGAAAATGTTTTTCGCCTCCGACTCGTGCATTCTACCCTCGGATATCAATCTCTTGAACAGTTCTCCGGCCGCAGCGTGTTCCATTATCAAATAGTATTTCGTGTAAGTCTCGATCACTTCGAACAGTCTAAAATGCGGTTTACTCAGTATTATACAACTGCAGTGGCGTCATTTGGAGGGTGGCGAGGTGAGCGTGAGCCCTTTTCCCTGTCTGATTTTAAAATCAGCCCCCCCCCCCTCAATGGGCTGCAGGTGTCCGGTTATTTACGATGAACCCTTATTATATTCTATAAGCACAAACACATTCCTATTTTTGTAATATTTTGAAAAAATATGCTGAGAAATTATATTGTTAAGATTGATAATATCAATAGTTGAAATATAATTATTCTATATTTCTTTTAAGTTACCCATTTGGGCTGGTTATAACTTTTGCCCCCTCTATTGAAAATTGAAATGACGGCACTGCATTATAATAATATTATATACGATAGACATTCGGGGTGAAGGGGATGGGGGCAGAGCCAATGAAAGGAACGTCCTGAAATCGTTTATTGATTTGTTATATTATTATTTTATATAGGTACCGATATAAATCGGGTGAAAAAAAATGAAAATGAAAAGAAGCAAAATATTATTATAATATGAATGAATAACACCACACTACGGTCATGGAAATAATATCATCACACGCACACAATGTCAAGGAAACACGTGATATTATATTATGTGTATACTGTATTATATAGATGCTGTTTTACCGAATAACGTTTTGATGATGTATCGATTCCATGACGGAGATCTCCCGGGACAACATTTTCTTCGCTTTCGCCGTCAATTTTGTCTTGTCTAATATTTTGATTGCCACTCGTTCTGAAAGCATAGTAATAATAACAATAATAACATATAATATTTATAATAAAACGAATTTCGTATTATATACATTCGCCGACTGTAAAGGTGGTGGTATCGTACGCAATAATAAAAGGTAACACATTATTTTATTGTTCTTTTTTTTCATTAAGTAGACCGCTCTGTTATGTAGAAAATGAGAAGTCGTCGTCGCAGCAAACGTTTGTAGGAAAACGTTTATAATAAGCGCTCAAAAAATATTAATTATTATTATACATACGAATAATTTCTACTGCTTGCGGTTAGGTGTTGTATCATAATATGTTTACTTACCTATAATATTACGATTTATTTGTGTGTAAACTGTTGTACACGTTTTTTAAATACTGATAATCGATAATTAAACAATAAATTGCATAATAATATAAAAATGAAATACGGAACGAATTTTATTTTTTTTAACGATTTTAATAATTGTTAGTAAATAATAGGTATGCTAAATAATATAATTATATTCATAATCTACGAAGAAAATTATTGGGTTGATATCTAACTAGTAACTAATCATTAGTTATTTCATTTTTTTTTTCCACAGCAAAATATACATCGTCCCTATAATTATTTTTTACTATTCATATTTCATCAATAATACAATGTAAACAATATATATTATTTAAAAGAGATATTAAGTTTCAAGTCGTAGATGTTACAGTGGTATTTTAAACGTTTTACTTGGCAGTAGGTATATTTTAAATACATTATTATTATACCAATACATAATTATAATTATATTATGCTAATAGTTTTATACTTAAAGCTGATAAAAAAAAATGATATACCTAGTTAAAAACCGATAACCCAAACGCGAAAAAAATACATTCGAACGTTTCTAACTGCAATTCGGACACAATATTTCATATTAGCTCCTGCAAGTGCGCGCTATGTTTATGGGCTATACCTATTCATAGAGTAAAAAAAAATAATGCTTATCAATACTTATGTATTTTTGAAATTATTGATTCTAGTGTCATTTATAATTATTGATATCGTCAGAGTGTTTCATTTGATCCGTTTAATCAGTCAAGGTCGGGGCCTAATTACCTTTGGTCAACTCGTGATATCCAGTTTTCACTTGCGAAAAATTCCCTTTGCCCAACTCTCCGCTGAGCTTGTACAGGCCGATCCTCTTTCCCACTGCCGTGTCGGTCTGCCATTTCCGGTCGTTGTCCAAGTTGTCAATCGCCTTCCGGTAAGCTGTAACCGGTCAACGAAAAGAGTCAACAAAATGCCGGACATGCGTGCAGCATATAAAGTTCTACGTAGCTGCGGTGTTGACACTTCATAATATTACAAGTACCAGCTAAGTATGAGGTAGATTCGTGCGACGACGGACTTACCCGTTAACTTTGTTGGAGACGCCTTCTCCTCGGAAGACTCGCACAAGGTCATCGTCGTAACGTCATCGCGTGTTCTCTGAAACAAACAGCGAAACACTTAATAGCATAATACTCACGCATTCGCACTCCTCGCGGTCCTGCCCTTCTCCCATTATCATTGTTATTATTATTATTGTTTTTGTTGTATAATATATAGATACACAGCATTATTATAATATTATTTTATAATAATATGACGTATAGTGCGGTGGGTATAACCGTATAGCATTATACTCAAAGAGCATACTCTCGATGTGTTGTACACAGACAAGTCCCATTGATGTACGTACGGCGTGCATTTCAAATTATTATTTAAATACCCATCAAAATAGTTTGTACGCATTCCTATATTACCTATATATATATATATATTTATACACGGGTAATAACTACACGCACCGTTGTACTTAGGCATACCCAAACATGTATACGATATTCTGTTTATTTACATCTAGGTACTTTTGCAATGTACGCATAGTGACGAACACGCGACGTGTTGAAGGCGAAAAGAAACTGCCACGAATTATGTCAGAAGCACAATCTACAGTCCACGAGTCGTGACGATCATAATATCGGACGTAATGAATAATAACGATTATTAGATTATAACAACATGATCTTTACTATTCATTAATTCGTTGTATTGATAATAGGTCTTTTTTTTACGTAATATCTATTCTGATGGTACAAACAGTTTTATCATTATTGTTACTGCGGTACACAAAACATGTACATATACCGATGACGTCGACCACTATAATTATTGTTTATTTTCAATTTCGACTTTGATGATCTGTTCGGACTGCGATAGTACTACTGGCTATTATAGTACTCACATTTTCGACCGAAATCCACGTGCAGTATTATTCGTATATTATGATCTCCACCACACTCATAATATACCCATACATTTTAGAAAATGGATAGGTAATAAAATCTGAGCTCCGACGCACGACGATGCGCATAAATAATACAATCTTTTAGCGTTATTTCGTATTATGCACTATTACTTGACGTATTAATATTTACTAATATTCCAACCTAACCTTGACTGTTACGTCGTCGTCGACACCATCGCAGCATTTTTCATATACCTAGGTATAATACATTCCACAATTCGCGGTTGTTCAACACTATAGCTCAGCTCATTCCAGTAAGTCTCGTGCTGAATAACGCGATAATTGCATTCTCGCACAGACGTAATAAATGAATACCTCTGCATATACATGTGCAACGTTGAAATCGAAATACAACCGACAGGTGAGAATATTCTACACATACGTAACCCTCTTAGAGACGCCAATGTTATAATGTACTGTGTTGTTGCAGAGATATTAAAATGCTAATAATCTTGTCATATTATGATTCCGCTGCAATATAGAGACGCGATGAGTCGGCGTGCTCGGAAGCCTGAAGCAAAAGCCCCCCCCCCTCCCGGATATATGAAAAACGAATAGCTTATGAGTGACGTAACATGAAATTACATCATTTCTAAGCCGTCGATGAATATCCGTCGTCACCGCTTGCGATGATGCGACGTCTCAAGGAATAAGTGAAAAAAATCAATAAAAATCACGGTAGGTAAGCCTTATACAGAATTTTATAGTCTCTTATCGTCCTCCTGTCTAATGGAATGCCACGGCAGAAACCCTAAGCCATTTCAATAAATTAATGATTGCACCATATATATAAGTCATGCAAGTGCCATCGCGGTGGGTGTAGAATGGCATTTCTGTCGAGATAATCACACCATAATGACTTTATAATCACTTATAATATGCTTACTTCATACAGTATGATAATATTTAGATTGCATTTCAGTATTTGTATGTTTCAATTTAACAAATATTATAAAAATAGCACAAAATATTCTATAATGTACCTACCTAAACGAAGATGGTAAAATATGTGTCAGTGGAGTAATTATCTACACTTCTATAATAGTAAGTACGTTGTACATACTTATAATAATAGCCCAACTATATAATATGGTTTTGAAATAAAGTATCAACCTTACTTATAATTGAGTCATTATACACGCTCGATATACTTCCCACTAACCGGATGCGCTTAAAAGCTTGCAGAAGTGGCATCGCAAGGTCAATTTCAATAAGAGTGGTTGAGAACTCAATATCAATTAAAAATATACACTTATTAGGTATATATCATTCTTTTTTTTTTAAATGTATTACATAATAAGAATTCGATTACAGAAATCATTTGTGCCAATTTTTAATTCTAGAATTCTCCCCCATAAAAAATGATCTGCATATTTTACTTGGTTAGATATTTTGTTTTCGTTGTCCGTGATGGCCTTTGATTGTTGATGGTTCTTTGCCGGAATACAGTATAACGGGTGGGCTGAGGTGAGGACTACACAACAATGTATATTTTTACTGTCGTTAACGACACCGAATATTGGTCGCGGGTCCTTGGCGATAAGGTGCAGCAAAATTAGATGAGTGACTCGTGTGACACGCATGTGCTCTACTATGTCCGCTATACACACTACTAACAATTTTTCTAGTAATACTTAAGGATGGCATACAATGAACATCAACGAGGAGCAAATTCTCCCCTCTGCGCCACTTCCCCGAGAACGCCCCGTCGTCTTGAGCACCCCCGTGAACATTGATTTCGATACGGTCATCATAAAACCCCTCAAATGTGTTTTTCTAGAAAATATTATCGTATAAAGTTTATTGGCGCCTTGGCGGTTCCCTATACTGACGTATGCATTATATATTATACGCGATGTACTGACGGATTTCCTTGTTTCGGTCTTATGCCACCGGACACGGTTATTACCATTATGTTACCATTGGTCATTACTCATTACGATGTACTTTCGGAGGCTCGGAACGATAAAATTACACGTGGAAGTAATTTTCCAAAAAAAACCCGACACACGCAACAGCGGAAAAGCGTGTGCAATGATTTTTGTGCACGCGCGACGAGATATTCACAATTTTCTTAAAAACACTAAACAGGTTATAAGAGTAGGTAGTGAAATTCAACAACTGCGTTACGCGATTTGATGATTAGACGCTCTGACGGATCCGTTACGTTACCTATCGTAAATCACGATTCAAGGTCGTAAGATGAACAATAATAAATTAATAATGTATAATCGTTTAAGTAAGAATTTACATATGTTTAAGTCTAATTAGGATGAAAAATGAAAATTATATTGTTACACATCAAATCATTATATCATAATATGATAGATATATATGATATATATATATATATGTATATGGATTCGGTGAACCCTCGTCTATAGTGGCGCAATCGAGGCATTATTATTACATTATCATTGTTTGAATTGTTTCGACTTCAATAAGACCACTGTACATGTCACATTATTGACGTGGCCTGTTTTGTAAAAATAAACAAATATTGTGTTTAGGCATACAATAAACGTTCGCTCTGCTCGGAAATATTGAAGAGTAGAATAATGAGTATAACGTAATAAAGATCGACTTTTGAGAGTAGGACACCGCAAGTCGAGGAAAATTGTTCACGGACCCAAAAATGACGACAGTAACACATCAAGACGGACGTAGGTATATAACGGTGTGTGATATTTTTTTTTAAACGTCATAATTTGTTGTACCAAGCTCGGCTGACGCGTCATACGTCTTAATCGCTTGGAATATTATATACCTGTAGAAGCAAGGTGATTTTATTCTTTTTTTTTTTGACGAATTAAACAAACACTAAAAATGACCGAGTTTTACACACGAGTAAAACGATCGATACGTTATATCTGGCCACCGCTTTATAATACATCATAATATTTTTATTTTATTTTTGTCGCTCTCGCCGATCGATTTATCCGCCGCAGCCGATTACTCGGCGATCGATAGAAAATGTAAAATTCAACCGGGAACGCAGTGTGGGTACTGGGAATAGTATGTCGTCGTCGTCGTGGTCGTCCCAGAGTGATCGAGCGAGTCCTCGCAGTCGCCATATTATTTTACTATCCTTACCTACGACAACAGGGATGTGAACTTTTAAGTTTTTGCACCGTATAATAATGGCCAAAATTTTGTCAAATCTCAAAAATACGCGTTTTACGCATAGGTGCAATTATACTGCAAGACAGTATTGGAGATAGTCTGACACTAATGGAAGAGTGAATTATTAATATTTCCGACGGTTATAGTATATATGTATACAGGGTACACAAACTACATCAATATTGATAGAGTTCGAAATCTATGTGGTTATTCGGGTAATTACTGTAAGCTGTAACGTTGGTTGTTTTGTGTGTGTGTGTGTGTGTGTGTGTGTGTGTGTTTTGTTCTGAACATTTATATGCAAAAACGTATTTTATCTAAGGTTATGGTAAAGTTCTTGTGCATGATAATATTGCAATAATTTTCTCTCTCCGTTTTTAATTTGTGTTTCTAGCTAATATTGATATACAACACAGATTACATACCGCTGTGATGATGGGGTACAGCAACACGTTAGTACACTATATCATATAGTAACATAATAAATGGATAATTTTTTTTAACTCGAACCGCATTGTTAAAAAATATTTATAAAGGAAACGCAGTTCGTAAGTTATTTGGAATGAATATTCATTTTTTAAACGAAAATTCTGAAAAGACTATACGTAAAGAATTCAATCGGATTTTTCCGCCATTCGTTTTGATAATCGTCTCCAATTATAAGCTTTTAAAACGATACCTATAGTCATTATAACAACCTCGGTTCACACATTTATGACAGATTAATTTTGGGTGCATAAAATTGTCTATGTTGGTACTAATATTATATAGTCGTACTTGACTAAACGATGTTGATAGGACCGTCAAATCAGATCCATTCAACGCGTACAAGCGTAAGCAGTGTTGAATTAAGACAATTTTTCTGGGGAGGAGGAACCACTTTTTTTCGTTGGTCGTACATTTTAGAATTATGAATTATATTATTGGTCATTACAAATTTCAGCAAATAAATTTTTAAATTTAGAAAATAATTACAGAACAAATAGTATAGCCTGGTGTGGCTCGGTGGTTGGCC